TTCCTTACGGGGGTAGAATTCGCTTCTTAATAACAAACCAGTTACAAGACTTCCAAAGATAAAGTGGAAATTAATTGAGAAGCCTCATACCCTCTCACACATTTCTCCCTATAGTGGCATCAAAACAGGGGCCATAATTAAAATGCCAGGAAAGAGGAACGCTTTATTCGAATTGTACGATTCAGGACCTGTGTTGCATCATCTGTGTAGGAGACTGAGCACCAGGCTCATGAAGCGGTCACCAGTTTTTGAGGAAGGTGCTGGGAGAGGGACAATCTCCGAGCCAGCATGGAGATGTTTTGCTGTCTGGAAACAAGCCCTCAAACAACTGCTTTAATGAGATAAGATCTGTCACATTAGCAGATGAGATCCGTCACATTAGCAAGCAGGTGTTGAATCTTGGACACTTGTGGTGCAACAGGGTGGGAGTCGAGCCCACGGGGAAAGAGCATGAGCATGTAGCAATCATTAAGCACATCCTGGTCCATGGGCCCCCCACGCCTGTTGTATAATGCTTCAATAAAAGGCCACAGCAGAGGGTACTTGAGGCTTCCGTGCACCTATGGGAAGTCCACCTGTTGCAGGCATTTGTACTTCTATCTGTGTCCCGGCTGTTTCTATTTTTGCTATGACAGGGTGCCACAGCAGGCACCAACAATCTGGAAACCAAAGTGGATACAAATGTATCATTTAAAATAAAAAACAGAGATGGCTACTTTTTCTGTTTAATTCTACTATATATTGTCCCAAGAAATTAGAGATATTTTCTCTCAAGAAAGGCATGGTCAACTATTCGAGTTTTGCTGACCCTTAAGTAATGTCAGACTAGGCTGATACAACATACAGCCTCAGATCATAGTAGTTTAAGAGAATTCTGTGGATGATAAAAATGTATAGTCTTTGTGAAAAAGTTATCTTATGAAAACTTTTGTAGAAGCATCTACTCTTTTGTACAACAGCATACGGAATGAAAGGCCCCTTCTGAGGTGTTTCCAATCCCATGAATGTGAATTTTAGAAAGTGAAGTGCCATAGGCCAGCCACAGTGGCTCATGCCTGTAATCTCAGCACTCTGGAGACCAAGACAGGTGAATTGCCTGAACTCAGGCACTGGAGGACAGCCTGGGCAAGAGCAAGACCCTGTCTCTACTAAAAATGGAAAAACTGAGGCAAGACAATCACGTGAGCCCAAGAACTTGAGGTTGCTGTGAGCTATGATGCCATCGCACTCTACTTAGGGTGCCAGAGTGAGACTCTGTCTCAAAAAAGAAAGAAAGAAAGAAGTGCCATAATAAATCTATCATTGATATATTTGGATTCAATTTCTGGGCTAATTTTAAATCAACACAAGCCATACTTCAGAGACTGAATTATAATGGTAACTCCAATGTTTCGGGATATGATAGAACCTGTCTGTGGGTTCCCAGCACTCTGTGCTATGCTGGTCTGTGGCTGGAGAGTTGGTGTGGCACTTCAGTCACGTTGTTGGTGTCCCCTGAAACATGTTCTTCAGTGCTATCCACAAATCAGTATTTGTCACCTACCATCTGAACCTACAGATAAAAACTCCATTGCTTTGTGAGTTAAGACAATTTCTTCAGCGACATCCTTGTGGCAGTGTCTTACGTTCCTCCTATGTATTCTGGGGGTTTTAGTTTTTTGCAACCCCATTTCTGCCCACCTCCCTGTTTTTGTGGTGAACACCTCTCATATTTAAAGATGCAGGTTAGATATTTCCTCCCCGATCTCTTCCTGAATCTTCTATTGCAATGGGCATGCTCTTTTCTGTCCAGAACCCTCCTTCCCTTAAGGGTTGCCTTTCATCCTGTGAGGTCCCACTCACCTCTGGCCACAGGGTAACAGGTAACCTAAGCAGATTCGGAGTTCTTCCATGGGATTTGCTGTGTGAACACTAGCAAAAAAACCTGTCTTTCTGTGAAGAAGAAAATTTGGGGTTTCCTATATTTCTCCATGTGGATAGGTGGGAAAGATGAGAAGGAGAGAGAAAGAAGAGGAAGAGGAAGGAGGAAGAGGAGGCCAGGAAAGGAAAAACAGAAGTTGGGACCGAGGAAGAACAGGATAAAGAGACAAGGGGAAAAATGGAGAAGGGAAGGGAAAGAATTAGGGAGTTGGGGGTAACCGATGACATAATTTAGGCCAAAGGATTCAGCTGTGCTTTAAGCTGGTACTACCCTTATTTACATGAGCCAATATATCCCTCCTTTTTTTTTCTTTGCTCAAACTAGTGCCAGTTGGGTTTTTATCACTTGCAACCAAGACTCATGACTAGTCAACCTATCCTGCTGGTACCTCTTCTGCCTTTGCTCTGTATTCTGCACAGATTTAATCTTGACACGAATATAATTTTATTTAAAATTTCCCAGCTTGCCTATGAACTCAGGAAAGGCAGATCTTGTCTTTGTATTCCTGGTGCTTAGCACATGGTAGACTCAGCAAAAGTCGGCAGAGTGGATCATATGCCCAATTTTGTTGACCCACTTGACAATCAGATCCCCTTCCCACACCACCCACACCCTCCAAATAACCAAGATATAAAAGGAGATTTAGCACAGCTCTCTCTAGTAGGCAGAAAGGTGAATGCCTCTACTGCTGTTAGGAAAACAATGCCCATGGGGAAACTAAGTTAATATCAAGTACAACTGGTTTTCTAAAAATAGGAGAGCTGTCCCTGCCAGCCAAACTACAAAGTGAAGAATGAAGTCTCCCTCAATTGCCCACCATGGGATTGCTAGATAGGTTGACATTTTCAGGATACTCAGCTGAGTTTATGGAAACACATGGAGCAGATGAATTACACTTACTTGTCATCTTAGGATAGGGTAGGAGCTGGCATAGTCCTTTCTGGCTGCCTTAAAATAATTTAAGACTAAGTAATCTATAAGTAACAGCAGTTCATAGTTCTGGACGCTGGGAAGTCCACGATCAAAGCATCAGCAAGTCTGGCGTCTGGTGAAGACTCATTCTCTATTTCAGAGGTGGCTTCTGGTTGCATCTCCATGTGGCAGAAAGAGATGAACAAACTCCCTCCAGCTTCTTTTGTGAGAGCACAAATCCCATTCATGGGGGCAGAGCTCTCATGACATAATCACCTTCCAGATACCCAACCTCTAAATAACCATCACATTGGAGATTAAGCGTCAACATACAAATTTGGGAAGTACACATTCAGACCATAGCAAGAACTATGGCTTTCTTGATCCCAATTAAATAGATAATTTCTGAGGAAAGGTTAGATTCCTCAGGACAGGAAGAAGTAAGCTTCCAGCCTAAATTAGGGTTCCTATAAATATGCGTTAACCCATGAAATACAAAGATGGTGAAGATATGTTGGTGTGACCTGGTGTTCTTTGTCTACTTGAAATGGTTTAAAGCTTTCTCCCCAATAGGATGTGAAGATCCATCTGTTCCAGGGAATTATGTTTTTTTGTTTTCTTAAGAGTCTCAAGCTGTAGCCCCGGGTAGAGTGTTGTGGTGTCACAGCTCATAGCAACCTCAAACTCTTGGGCTTACACAATTCTCCTGCCTCAGCCTCCCAAGTAGCTGGGACTACAGGCACCTGCCACAACACCCGGCTATTTTTTTTGTTGCAGTTCTCATTGTCATTTTAGCTGGCCTAGGCTGGGTTCAAACCTGCCAGCCTTGGTGTACGTGGTGGGTGCCCTACCCACTGAGCTACAGGCGCCACCCAGGGAACTATGTTTTTGGTTGATACAGGGATAAGACTACATTTTGAGGACAAATGGGGGGAAGGGCACATTTAAGAGAACAGCTTTCTTGGTGGGCATATACTGATTGGGTAGATTTTATATCAGAATTCCAAATTTCCTTCTAGTAAGGTTATAGTCGATAGAACAAGGATTAGAAGATACCAATTCCAGGCCCAAGTTTCATCACTCACTAGATGAATTACCTAGGGGAGCCAACTATTTTGTTTGTATTTCAGTCTCTCTGGATAAAATATGGGAACAATGCTTTCTCTACCCATGTTATCAGTTGGTAGACAAAACATTAATAAACATTTGCTTTAATTCCTTCACCTTCCCCATGAAGAAATTCATCAGTGAAATCCTTTTTTCTGTTATAGATCCTTTTTTCTGTTATAGATCCTTTTTTCTGTTATAGATCCCTCTGAGGAATTGTGAAAGCTATGGATACTTCTCTACAGAAACAGGTTTGTGTGTGTGTATATGTGTATACTACTCCCACACATGCATTTTTGCATATTATTTTTTTTTTTAAATCACAAAACTCCAGTTCATTCTCAGAAAAGCCAATTTAAAAAAAACTCTGAATTAAAGAAAATAATTTCAATGAATCAAAATAATTTTAAAAATCATAAGCACAGTAAAATAAACTGGTTCATTTCATCATGATTTTCAGGCAGTATTATTAACCTATTAACACTGAGCCTACTCCAAACTTACAGGTTCAATACTGTTCCACATTCCCCCATCAGTGACTCCCATTTTATACATGCTTCTTCTGTAACCATAATGAGAGAACAAATGGCTACATGTCTGTTAGTAAATAAATTAAGTAAGGCACTCAAATCCCAGATATGAGTTAACAACAAGACTATCTTCTCCCTTTATGCATTGAAATCAGGTGGGGAACCTGAGCCACATGTGCCCTCCAGATCCCCAAATGCAGCCCCTTGACCAAATCCAAACTTAGATTCAGTCAAAGGACAGCACTCAGAGATCCAGAAGGCCACAGGTTCTCCACCCCGAAGATAAGTTTATTAAGGTAGGAAAAGCACGGATAGTTTATAAGCAAAGCACAAGAGCAGTTTCTGAGAAAACGTCTTCTGTGTGGATCCCCAGTGCATAGTATAATTCCTGGAATGTTACGGGGACTAAATGCAGTGAACGAATGGGCGAACCTTAGCAATCAGTCCAGGTCACTCCTCCAGAATAAAGAAAGGAAAAGATGAAAAAAACAAAACAAATTTTTAAAAATTCATAGGATTTTATTAGGGGGGAAAAAAGGCTTAATTTATATATTTAGCACAATTCTCTTTGTAAAATACATTTATTTACAAACCCAAAGCAAAAGCTCTGTCATTCATTTATTTCAAAAGACAAATCATTTCATTGCTTCGTCCTTGATATTCCTGCAATGTCTTCATCTGGCCTCAGAGAAGGGCGTAGGCTCCCTGCTTTATTATATCAGGATAAAAATCCAATAGAGAAAAGTCTTGCTGTAACGGGTAGCTGTTTTCATCTAACATGAAAAGGCTCTGAATCTTCAGTAGCCAAGGTTCTGCGCCAGCTGCGAACAAGGAGTGGAACAGGTCTGCTGCAACCATCCCATAGGTGACATCTGAGGAGGGCACTGAGGAAGATGAAAACACACACAGAGCTCTCAACCCCTTCTCGCTTGACAGAAACAAACGGACAGAATGGATTGCTTCTCTCAATCACTCATGTCTCAACCATTTTAAATGTCTCTTTCTATACCTTCTCTTTCTAGTTACAAGTTGCTGGAGGTCCTCTAGAAGGACACATGTAATTCCTGCTGGACATGAAAAGGCCCAGACAGCACGCGATTCAGAATGGCAGAGTTCCTGTTAGAGCACAGCTGTGAGCTTCTTAAAACAATATAGTAAAGAGTGGAGATCAATGTTTATCTTAGTTAAGACTGAAACAAAAAGGGCATGTGACATCAGAAAAGTGCTATTATCTAGTTCTCATCACAGTTACATATACGTTTTTACATAAAAGAACTTTAAACCAGTTATTTAATAAATATCAAGTCTCGATAATAAAAATACTAAAATTACAGCTAAATCTGCTGTTTTATTTTGCATTTGTTGTATATTCTCCCTCTCATATTTTTTGGGACATCTAATCAAGTTATTTAGCAGGCTGTTCAATCCCAGACGGACAAGGCATCACAGACCTTGCTCAGACCGCACATGCTCCCTGACAGTACCACCATCTATCTTCGATTAGAGCTACAGACTCCTTGAGAGACAATGACAGACATATTTTTAGAGATGTGAGAGTCTGCTATAATAATTTTAAAATTTTGTATTTATCAATAAACTAAAAAAAAAATCGACATGAGTGATATCCAATCTGGATAGTCTGATGACCACTTTATAACCAATGACATTTTCACTTACATTAAAATCTAATTAATGCAAAAAATATGACCTTAATTGCCTTAAGAATTATGTATGAAACACAGGAGTATACTTGAAAAGAGAATGAAGATTCTCTGAAAAGTAAAGACTAACACTGTGTAAACAATGAAGAGCTAGGACTGAAAATATATAAAGAACATCAAGGAAAGGGAGGAAAATCTCCAAATGAATGAAAATGAAGTAAAGAAAGTATTAAAAAAAAAAAAAAAACCAGAGGCTTCTAAGTCAGAATGTAGAAAGCTGGAAAAGTGTGGCTCCCACCCTAATGTTCACTAGAAAAAGCTGAATAAACTACAGTACCAAAGTTGTACAACACCCAACAAGACTGTAAGGAAAGACAAGTGCCTCCAAGGAGACAGAACTGGAGCCCAGGTGGACTTGATGCAGGGCTTGGGAAGAAGACAGGTCTACCAAATAAGTAAGGGGGGAAAAATGTGCTTACATTTTTAATCAATTATTATAAGCCAATTAATTGCCTGTGCTACAGACACCAGGCAAGTTTGCAACCTCGCAGGCTCCTCCACTGGCCCTTCTCTCCTCCGCCAGGTGTTTGAAGGGCAAGACATGAGAGAAAGCTTCCAGCTACAGTGAAGGCCTGAAGATGGGGAGAAGCTGCCCAGAGGAAAAGCACAAAGTACCACCTGCAACTGCTGGAGGAACAGCAGCAAACTGTGTTGCCCCAGGGTGGAAGTGAAGACCCAGCACAGATGCAGAAAAGGAAAAAATCTTCTATCCCTGAAGAGGGAGAAAACCATCCTGGACCAAGACCATTATTGGCGCCCTTGTGTTCAGGAAGGGCAGGACCACACAAGACCCACCAAAGATACAAGGCGGAGTTTGGCTGCCACAGCAGAAGGGCATCCACTGAGAAAGTGCCACACCCAAGACCTGTGAAAGAACGGGGCTGGACCAGCATTATAGAGAATCAACCTGATCCCTCCCACTAAGCTAGAATTCCCCAAATAACAACCACCAGAGGCCTATACAACTTGGGGAGATACACGAACATAAAGAGAAACTCTGTTGGTGGCAGGTGCAGAGTAAAGGGCTAAGATGATGGAGCAGGAACAACTGGGAAACCACTCCCCACAAAATGCATAATATTAGAAAAATCTGAAAACAATGGTGACTTGAAAGTAACCACAGCAATAACAAAACCGGAGTCCAACTCATTGTCTGACAATGGTGACTCTCTACTGTTCACCCCTCACACCCAGTAAAGGTCTAGTAGGGGCAAGCCCTCTTCCAGGTACAAATACTATTCTATATACATTGTTTGTCATTCAAGCAAAAATAACTAGATGCTCCCAAAACAAGAAAAATAACCCATATTAAAAGACAAAGCAATTAACAGAGCTAAAGTAGCTCAACTGCTTAGAGAATCTCAGGCAAAGGAAGACAGGTACAGAGTTTGAACATCTGATAAGAGAATATCTTTGCTTTGTTCTTAGCCACTGACTGTCCCCAGTATCATAGCTGACAATCTTCTAAATGCATTCCACTGACAATGGGCTTCATTTACACAGGGTGGACAGAAAGTTTGTGTACAATTTACTATGTTAAACTCTTTTAAATCGCACAGGAACTTTATGTCCACCCTGTATAGAGTCACATGCTCATTTACTTAATTCTTACTAGGGTCCTAATGTTTTTGCTTACCAGTTGAAATTTTAAGTTAAGAAGACATTAGGTGCCTCCCATCATTCATGTACTAAGACAGGTGTAGAGCAACTCTTACCTTCTAACTTACATAGTCTTATATTTCGCTAAAGCTAAATTATCTTTTCTGCTTTTATATGGACAGTAAAACCTTTAATTTATAGTACAGTGTTCTTTCTGTTTCAATATACCATCTACACCCCTGAATGACTGTTTTACCAAAACAACCTCTTGTTGGCATATGGGTATATTACCTATCACTCTGTTGAGGCAGTCTGGAGAAATATGGAGAAGAATCTTCTCTATCAGTGTTGATCCTACACGAATGCAAACATCGTGTCCGCCATCAACTATGGTCATTAAAGCTGGCCTACAAAAGAGTAAACAATACATGACATTGAAAAATATTTTCAAAAGCTTAAATGTAATATAATTTTAGAAAGCACTAGGTTTTTATGGAGGATTAACTTTAATTGCTAAAACAACTCTAAGATGTTCCGGGACATCCTAGAAATGAGAGAAGGATTTTTATCCCCAAGAGTTTGAAGTGATAAATTAATAAATTTCATTTATGGGCGGTGCCTGTGGCTCAAAGGAGTAGGGCGCCAGCCCCATATACCAGAGGTGGTGGGTTCAAACCTGGCGCTGGCCAAAAAAAACTTCAAAAAAATAAATAAATAAATAAATAAATTTACTCCATATTCATTTTTTAATTTCAGATACTAATATAAGAATATATTATTTTAAACAATGATATAAATTATTTTTTAAAATGTAAAATGAAAACTGCAAATTTCCCAATAACAATTTCAAGGGTTTTTTTCCCACTGGATTTTTTTCTATCAGAAATAAACTATTTTGTATGTCAGTAAATAGGGAAGTGGATTAATAATTTTCAGTATCTCCTACAGTGCAATGTTATGTGGCTGTTAAAAAGAATGAGGAAGATTTATACGTGCTGTTAGGGAACGAGTACCACAATAGATTTTATGGAAGAAACAGTATTTTTTTTTTTTTTTTGAGAAAAGGTCTTGCTCTGTTACCCAAGCCAAAGGGCAATACATTATCATAGCTCACTGCAACTTCAAACCCCTGAGCTCGAGCCATCCTCCTGCCTCAGCCTCCTAAGTAGCTGAGACTATAGGTGCCTGCCACCATGTCTAGCTAGTTTTTCTACTTTTTGTAGAGATGGGGTCTCACTCTTGCTCAGGCTGGTCTCAAACTCCTGAGCTTAAGCAATCCTCTTGCCTCAGCCTTCCAGAGTTCTAGGATTATAGGCGTGAGCCACCGCCCCCAGTCTTATAGTCTTATGTACTTTGAAAGGAAAGTGTGTAAATATATATATATATATATATTTTATTATATATATGAGCATAATAAATAGCTGGAAAAATACACAAAAAAAATGTATAACTAGCAAGGAAGCAGCATTGATGGGAGCAGAGACATCCACTCTTTGTTTATACCTTCCTGGTTTGTGTTTAATCATGATGTGTATTAACTTTTAAAAATAATTTTTTTTTTTGAGACAGAGGCTCACTATGTCACCCAATTGGTGCCATGGCGTCACAGCTCACAGCAACCTCAACTCTTGGGCTTAGGCGAGTCTCTTGCCTCTACCTCCCAAGTAGCTGGGACTACAGGCGCCCACCACAAAGCCTGGCTATTTTTGTTGCAGCTATCATTGTTGTTTAGCTGGCCCGGGCTGAATTCGAACCCACCAGCCTCGGTATATGTGGCTGGTGCCATAACCACTGTGCTACAACGCCAAGCCAAAAAATAAATTAATTTTTAAAAAAATAAATTGAGAACAGAATTTAGAAACAGATTCATTAACACAGGGGTATTTAGTTAAGAGAACTAAAGCATAACAACTGATTTCCCCCCAAAAACCTACTTCCCCCTTTACTCACACTCCTTCCCTCTTTTTATTATACCCTCTTTACCCAGGTTATCTCTCTCACTCCATTCTTTATTTCAACAAATAACAAACTGAGTATCTATTATGTACCATGGACTGTGCTAAGTACTTCGTAACTACTAGTGAACAAGACAAATCTGGTTCCTTCATTCAGGAAACTTATGAATTGGCTGGGGATGATGGCTCACGCCTATAATCCTAGCACTCTGGGAGGCCCAGACAGGAGACTACTTGAGCTCAGAAGTTTGAGACCACCCTGAGCAAGAGTGAGACACCACCTCTACTAAAAAAGGGAAAACTAGTCAAACCTTGTGGCAAGCAACTGGAGTCCTAGCTACTTAGGAAGCTGAGGCAAGATAACTGCTTGAGCCCAAGAGTTTGAGGTTGCTATGAGATATGATATCACGGCACTCTACCCACGGCTACAGAGTGAGACTCTGTCTCAAAAAAAAAAAAAAAAAAAAGAATAGGTTGGGTGCCTGTGTCTCAGTGGTTAAGGCGACGGCCACATGCTCCAGGGCTGGTGGGTTTGAAACTGGCCCGGGCCTGCTAAACAAACAAAAAAAAAATAGCCAGGCATTGTGGAAGGAACCTGTAGTCCCAGCTACTAGAGAGGCTGAGGCAAGAGGATAGCTTGAGCCTAAGATTTTCAAGTTGCTGTAAGCTATGACACCACAGCACTCTACTAAGAGTGACAAAAGTGAGACTCTGTCTCAACTAAAAAAAAAGAAAGAAAGAGAAAGAAACTTAAGAGTTGGCTCGGCGCCTGTAGCTCAAGTGGCTAGGGTGCCAGCCACATACACTGGAGCTGGCAAGTTCGAACCCAGACCAGGCCTGCCAAACAACAATGACAACTACAACCAAAAAAATAGCCGGGCATTGTGGCAGGTACTGTGGACCCAGCTACTTGGGACCACATTCTCTTAAGAGAATTACTAAAGCCCAGGAGTTTGAGGTTGCTATGAGCTCTGACACCACAGCACCCTACCCAGGGCGACAGCTTGAGACTCAAAGATGTGGGTGGCACCTGTGGCTCAGTGAGTAGGGTGCTGGCCCCATATACTGAGGGTGGTGGGTTCAAAACTGGCCCTGGCCAAACTGCAACACACACACACACACACACACACACACACACACAAAATAGCCAGGCATTGTAGTGGACACCTGTAGTCCCAGTTACTTGGGAGGCTGAGACAAGAGACTCGCGTAAGCCCAAGAGCTGGAGGTTGCTGTGAGCTGTGACACCACAGCACTCTACCGAGGGGGACAAAGTGAGACTCTGTCTCTATAAAAAAAAAAAAGAAAGAAAGAAAGAAAGAAAGAAAGAAAGAAAGAAAAAAGAAATTTAAGAGTCTAGTGGGACATAAAGAAAATAAGCTTTTCAATAATAGTGTCAAGATGATTAAATAGGGATAGACTAATCTTGAAAAATCATGCTAGGACCATGTGTGGTGGCTAATGTATGTAATCCCCCACTGTGAGAGGACTGCTTGTGGTTACAAGTATAAGATCAGCCTGAGCAACATAGCAAGACCCCATCTCTAAAAAAAGAAAAAAAATTAGCCAGGCATAGTGGTATGCACCTGCTCAGGAGAATAAGGCAGGAGGATCATTTCAGCCCAAGAGTTCAAGTTCAAAGGTTTCAGTGAGCTATGATCACAACATTGCACTCAAGCCTGGGCAACAGAATGAGACCTTGTCTCAAAAAATAAAAATTATACTGAGACCACTGAATGTTCACATACAAAAGAATGAAGTTGGCTCAGAGCCTATAACTCAGTGAGTAGGGCACTGGCCACATACACCAAGGCTGGCAGGTTTGAGCCTGCCCTGGGCCTGCTAAACAACAATGACAACTACAACCAAAAAATACCTGAGCATTGCGGTGGACACCTATAGACCCAGGTACTTGGGAGGCTGAGGCAAGAGAATCGCTTAAGCCCAAGGGTTTAAGGTTGCTGTGAGCTGTGACACCATGGCACTCTACCAAGGGTGACATAGTGAGACTCTGTCTCAAAAAAAAAAAAAAAGAATGAAGTTGGACCCCTTCCTTACATTAACTCAAAATAGATAATGAACCTAAACGTAAGAGCTAAAACTACTAAACTTTTAGAAGAAAATAAAATCACCTCCATGACTTTGGCTTAGAAAAAACACCTTTCTTAGATAAGACATCAAAAGCTCTTGCAACAAAAAGAGAATAAAAAGTATTGGACAAAGATGTGGAGAAACTGCAAACTTCAGATTGCTGGTGAGAATATAAAATTGAGCAGCAATTTTGGAAAACAATTTGGCAGTTCTTCAAAAGGTTAAATACAGGGGCATAACACAACTCAGCAACTCCACGCCTAGGTATGTACGTGAAAAAAATAAACACATATGTCTATACAAAGAATTATGCACCAATCTTCATAGCAGCATTATTCATAATAGCCAAAAAGTGGGAAGAACCTAACTGTCCATCAACTGATGAATGGATAAATAAAATGTAATATAAACATAAGGTATTATTTTGCAACAAGACAGACATGGATGAAACTTAAAGATACCATGCTAAATGAAAGAAGCCAAGGACAAAGTAGCACATGTTATATGATTACATTTATGTAATGTCCAGAATGACCAAATCTATATAGACAGAAAGTAAACGAGTAGTTGCTATGGGGTTGGGAGAATGAGAAACGGGGAGTGACTGCTCATGAGTATGTGGTTTTGTAGGGCGAGGTAAGTGACAAAGATGTCCCACAACTGGTCATAATAATGGTTGCACAGACCTGTGAATATACTAAAGCCACTGAATTGTATGTTTTGGACAAGTTATTGTGATGATATGTGAATTTTACCTCAGTGAATTGGGTTTTTTTGGTTTTTTTTTTTTGAGACAGAGTCTCACTGTGGTGCCCTCTGTAGAGTGCTGAGCATCACAGCTCACAGCAACCTCAAACTCTTGGGCTTAAGTGATTCTCTTGCCTCAGCTTCCCAAATAGCTGGGATTACAGGCACCCACCCCAATGCCTGGCTATTTTGGGGGGGGGTTTTTTGGTTGCAGTTATCCTTGTCGTTCAGATGGCCTGCACTGGGCTCAAACCCACCCTCTTCAGTGCATGTGGCTGGCCCTGTAACCACTGTGCTATGGATGCCAAGCCTTAAGTGATTCTCTTACCTCACCTCCCAAGTAGCCTCAGTGAAATGTTTTTCTAGAAAAGACAGTAAGCACTACCAACTGCAATAAGCACACACAGGCTACTATGATGGAAAATAAAGGAGGGTGCTTAGAGAAGGCGTCTCTGATAAAGGCATTTAAACTAAGGCATGAAGAAGCCAGTTTTGTGGAGGCATGTAGAGGGGAGAACATTCCAGAAAAGGAGAAAAATCAGAGTGTCTGGAGAATGAAAAGAAGGCCAGGCAGCTGGAGCACAGGGAGCGAGGGGGTAGTGGCAGCAAATGAG